ATATCTATGCTAGAGAAGGCAGCAAATACTGTGTCAGCCACATTTTCCATTCTATGCTTTGTCCAGGTAGGAAGTAACAATGTTCTGGAGCAAGCATAGAATCATAGAATCATGGAATCGCAAGGTTGGAAACGACCCATAAGATCATCTAGTCCAATCATCTCCTCATCACCATTGCCACCACAAGCACTAAACCATATCACTCAGCACGTCATCCAGATGCCTCTTGAACACTGTCAGGGATGGCAACTCCACCACCTCCCTGGGCAGCCATTCCAGTGCCTGACCACTCTCTGAGAGAAATAGTACTTCCTCATGTCTAATCTAAACCATCTCTGATACAACTTGTGGCCATTTCCCTGTGTATACACATATGCACACAGCATATACTGACACTAAGGAGATGAGAGGCTCATGTCTTCTTACACTCTTTTATCAGTGTGTAGAGCCTGTCTGTCTTCTAACCACTCTGTGATAAAGTTGACAAAGCGCTAAAATAGGCTAAGTACCTGGCAGAGATTTTTAAGAATAAATTTTGCATGCATGTCACTGGGATGGTTTAGACACACAGCTGTATCTGTTAGAGCAAGTGGGGAGTGATTCAAGTGAATGTTGTGATGGTCTTTTATACCCACTACAAATGAATGATTGGATAGTCCTTCCTCTTTGATGGCCAAACTCATAAATTATAGCTCTATCTCTACATCGTATGTTTCATCTTTACACATCTGTGATGTTTGCTTTCACCATATTGAGAAATTGAAGTACACATTTTAGCTGGAAAAAAAATTATGCATTTTAAAAGTAGAAGGCAGGGTTTGATAAAGAAGAATATGTCACAAGCTTATTTTTGATTAGACCACCAATTAATTTCTTGTTAAATTAATAAGAAGAAAAGCGTAACCTTTGTTGTTGATTCTAGTGCATTTGGAGCCAGCTGCTCCAAGCACTGTCTTTCATGGACATTTGTTCTGTTTTGCCTAGAGATACTAGCCCCTTGGTTTAGTAAAAAAACCTCTCTCTTTATTTTTTCCTGTGCTACCAGTCAGACTGACAGTGTCACTTCTCATCCATCCCTTTCAGTTGTCCAAAAATCTTGCAGTCAATTCTTTTGTCAATGGTAATTTCCATTTCTTTTTTTATTGTCATAATATATCTTAGTAAAAACAATAGTGATAGTAATAAATGTTATCCTCATAAGGACTGAACTTTTTTTCTAAAAGTAATAAATCACAAGACAACTCATAGACACCTGCATCTTTCTTAGTCTTAGGTCAGAGAGGTTGGTACCTCCTTTCACATGAGTTTTCTGGTAGCAGAATTCAGTTAATGGGTTTCTTTGTATGTGCCTCAGTTCAGGTGAGACAGGACAATTAGGTCTACCCTGATAAAGCCAGACAGGAATCAGGAAGATTTCTTTGTTTCTTATGTGTTACATTTATCAAGGAAATAAGAACATGATCTAATACACTCTTCATACTGGGAATCATTTGGAAATCATTTCTCATTAATGTTTTTCTGATGAAGTTAGCTCAGTGTACTTGCAGATCTTTCTGAAGCTGAAAGACCAAACTTTCTAAAAAGAAATAGCAATAATAGTTTTCCAGAATTAATTATATTCATTTCCCTGTACATTCAAACCCAGGGAAGCTACCAAATGACCTGAACAAAGCTTCTGAGTGCTGTAAGTTCACAATCATTAGACATTCCCAGAACTTCACTGTGATGGAAGAAAACATTACTTTTGCAGTCAACTTTTTTTTTTTTTTTTTTTTTTTTTTTTTTTTAATCTTGTTTTAGATAGGGGAAGTGATGGCACAAAGATTGTATATTAACAAATATAAGATCAGTTTGCAGCAGTAGGCTACCTTAGGTAAGTACCATTGCTGCTTAATGGCTATGAAGCACATAAAGGATTTTCTTGTTGTTCATTTAACTCAGTGCAAATGTTTCAGCTCAATAGCCTGTATGCAATTGTCAGAGTAAACATTTCCTCATTAAAAAAAGCTCTGGTAGTCACATCAGAAGTTAATGGTTCTTCAAATATGAAATTAAAGATAACAGTAGGTTTCTCTCTATGATTATAACATTTCCTTCACTAACGGAAAATTTTTTACCAGTATGGTTATTTATCTCATACAGATTGTTCATAGAATAGGCCTGTATCTGAGAATGGGCAAAAAAATGAAAACTTTTGTCTTCCTAAACAAAAAAAAACTTCACTCTGTACTCTAATACTAGATGTGAAAAGGATGAAATAATCCAAAACTTCATAGTAGATATGGTCTTTCTTATCAGCACAGTGCTGATCCTCTGCTGATGAAAGGATAATAACAATCAGTTAATCCACATATTATGTATATTGGGAATTATGTGAACATGTGGCAGTTATGTGGAAATTTACAGAATATCTGCAGGCAGAGCTTTTTCTTTTCCTTCAACAGTTTGTTGCTTTCTAGGAGAAGCCTGAGGAGGTGTAATAGACAGTCCCATAGTTAGAAACCTAATAAACATAAAAATAATCCCAACAGGGCAGAACAAGCCACATCCAAATGGATATTGTGCCTACATTGCTACAAAAAAGTTGATGTCATTTAGAGAAAGTATGCAAGCTTTGGCATTTTCAGTTATTCATCACCCTGATACTTCCTTGGTGTCCAAAACTCTTGTATGGGGGATTTTAAGGTTGAGATCTGCTATGAGGTTCACTCTGTTCAATTTATTTTCCTCCATGAAGATCTTATAAACTTCAAACAAGTGCTCTTATCAGTCTCCCCCTCCTCAAATGAAGAACTCCAGCATTTTAAACTTCTGTGTAAGACAGCTGTTTCACAGTCTTGAATTTTACCGTTGACCTTCTCTACTCTTTTTCTAACTCCACTCCATCTTTCTTGAGAGATGAAGATCAGGACTGTCCACAGTTCTCAAGACATACACTTGGTTTTATACAGTATCCAAATTATGACCTTTCTCTTATTTGTAGTTCTCCTTCTGAAGCTGTTCAACATTTTTTGAGATTTCCAGCTGCCATATTTTATTCAGAGATATTGTGAGCTGTAAGGAATAACTCTAAGATATCTTCCCTGATAAACTAAAGTTCATCATCGTGGAGATATGCTTTAGGCTATTTTTGCATAATTTTGCATCTGCCTTGAACCTAACTACCATCTTTTTATTTTTCTGGAGTTGATTGCCATCACCCTTGGCAATTTCAGTATGTATTCCCTTCTTCAGGTCATTGACAAAGATGTTTTATTAAACTGGCCTCAGCACTTGTCACTGGTCTAGCCATTGTGTAGATAGGTATTTTTGATACTTTCCTTTTCCTAGAGCTACCATACTGTTAAAACATAAGATTTACACATAAAAGATGTAGCTTTTAAAGATAAATTTTAGTAGAAATCTATTTATTAAGCACCTGAGAAAGGGGGAAAAAATGGCTTCAGTCACATTTTCTCCTCATTATTCTGTCTCATGCTCTTTGTCCTGAGTGAGAGAGTATTTGGCCTTCTCTTTCATATCCCCTAGGACTGGTTCATCAGTTTCTTATTTACTCTGTTCACTGAAGAATATTGAAGCCCAGGGTAGTGATCATGAAATACTGCAAAGTTAACATAAGAATTGTCAATTTAATTATAAGCAATACTGAGAAACATAATATACACCAATAAGCACCAATTATGAGTTTTTATTATGTCAGTGATTATGTTGCTTTTAGCACTGTCTTTCTCGTGGAACACACAAAAGAAGCAGAAGTTAGTAGGCCTAAATAGTCAGTAAAATCATCAACCAAATGCAAAAATAGTAGCCAAAGGTGTCCCCAAACTGAACAAAAATGATTTTAAATCTCAACAATGGAGATAAGGAACAGCAGTAAATGTAGGCTTATTAGCATACTGATGTGTTTAGCACTGGATTAAGTCAAAGATGGGAAAACTACAGTGTGCCGATAATTAGAAAACCCCTCTATTTTGATCGCTTTAGTAGATTTGCATGGATCACAGACTCCATCTAAAGGGTTTTATTGAAAGAACTTAGCTCATGTTTTATTCATGTTATCAGGTGCCATGACTAATAAGGATCAACCATTTCTTCTCCAGGGATCACAATAAGCCAAGGTTTTATTTTATTTCCTTTCTGACAATACAGGTTCTTCTGAGACTGCATTTACTTTTTTTTTTATGCAGCTCCTTTCCAGAAAGGCATAAAATAATATATAGAAGGGGTGCTTTTTCCCTTTCATCCTCTACTTGATGATATCTACCTCAAAATGGACACTTGCAGCCTAGTAGAATGTTCTGAGAGAAAAAAAAAAGCAAACAAAAAAAAAAACAAAACAAAAAATCTTATTATGATTTGCAAATATCAGTAGTTTTGCAGAAATACTGTTTTATTTACATCTATCACTTCAGATTAAAGCTACTTATTTTCTTTTTAGTCATTTTTCCCTGAGGACTCTGCTGACATTCAAATCTGAAAATTTAAGATGGTACTTAAAAATTCTCCTCGAATACCCCAGTAATATAACTGACACGGAATTGAGGATTTAGCTCTAACGTTCTTCCTTTAGTTTTCACCTTCTGTGCAGAGAAACAGAGCAGCCCATTTCTTTATCATACTTTAATCTTTTCTTCCCCTGTCCTCTCTCTGTGCCACTGTCCTGGTTCTGCTTTGTCCTTCCAGTCAATAAATGTACAAGTGCATTGGTACAGAACTCTCTGACCAAATGCTGTGGGGACAAGTTTCCTTTCTCTTAACCTCTGTGCTTTGATTTCTTTCCATTCATATACTTTTTTTTTTTTTTTTTTTAGGTTGTATGGGAACTGCTGAATCATGGCCTGAACCTCTGATTAACCACCTGAGGAGAGCCACGAGTCAGCCCTGTGAGCACAGATGAAGGCAATTCACCTGTGCTTCTGGAAGGGGTGGAGCCCGGCTCCACTTCTCCTAGACCCATTTAAGAGCTGGCTACCAGTAGGGAAGGATCTCTTCTGGGGATCCCTTCTCTAGAGTTTTGCAGTGAGCTCAGGATGTAAGTAGGCATTGTATCTATTCTCTTTTTGCTGTTGTGATCTGCTTTGCCAAACTCTGTTGTTTATTTCATAATTATAGCATCTTTATATTCATTGATTACACATAAGCGTATCTCTATTATTTTCTAAAAAAATAGTGACGTTACCCAGTCTTGCTTTCCTTCAAGCTACATTTTTGAAGTGCTTTCTCTGCTTCGTTAATCATGCCTGCAATGATCACTGTATGGCTGTCTTTCATAGCACAGCGTTTTGCTGTATTTTGACCTTTCAGACACCACATGTAATACATAGTTAGAATTTACATTTCTCCCAATCTCTCCAAGTTTCACTCTGCCCCTTCTGATAGCTTTTGGAGCTCCTGCTGTCCCAGTCTTGCTATGTATTTGTAAAGTGCACAGTGCTGGCATTACTTTTTTGTTAGTAGAAAAGGTTATTGGTTTTAGTACTCACATGTCTCCCTAATGAAGAGAAGAAAAAGAATATACATCTGCTCCTAAATTTCAATTAGAAAACTTCAATTCTCAGTGTGTGGAACAGTCAGGAAGTAAATAGACAGGTTTGATAAGAAAAAATTGGTGAAGAGTGTGCATCCATTTCTACTTCAGTAAAACTGAGCCAAATCCAATATTGCTTTTTTTAATCAGCCAGGAGACAAAATACTGAGCTCCACAGCTCAATTCACCTAAGCTTATCTTTTTGTCTCAAAAGTAGAAGTGATCTTGTTTTACGTCAGCTTGTAAGTCTCAAGACTTCAGCATCCAGATTGACAAATGTTGTTCAACTACGCAAAAAGACACGGTTAATTACTGCTTTCGTAGCATTGTAGCTAGGACTACCGTAGTATTTTCTCTGAAGAGTAACACTCAGAGTACTAAAAAAAAAATTGCATAGCCTTGCTTGCCAGCAGGGAAATCATATTTAGTCAGTGTGGGTAGAAAAGAACTGTTGTCTTCACTAACAGCAGATGTCACGTTGCTTGGAATTAACTTCTATGTTGTGGGAAGTAACAATAGTGAAGATAGCAAACTGTTTTGTTATGAAGATGTAGTATTCCATACGTATTTTAAACAGATTGATTACTACTTATTGTTTCATGTGTGATCAAGAAGTATGGCTTTAGGAAAGTACTTGTTTTGGAGACTGACAATTAATACATTGTTTCCAATTGACTGTGAAATTTGCACGTTTCCTGTCATTACAGTACAAATTATAATGAAAAAACTGCAACTGTTGTCCAGGGGCCAGCACTCTGTTGGCTGCCAGGGGTTGGTGTGCGGGCTAGTTGGATGAAGGACAGCTGGAAAGTCACAGAAAGATACAGAGAAACTGAAGCTGTGCATTAGAATGCAAACAAGTGAAACAGCGACTATAGTACAGTGTTGGTTTATGTGGTATGTGCTTTGAGAAACCACATAAAAGCGAAGCATCATAAAGAATGTGAAGGAAGACAAAAGAAATTATTCTGAAATCACTGAGAAAGTGAATTTTAAGGTGGAGATTACTGAGAGAAAACACTGCGGTGGAAATGGAAAATAAATAGCAGGTCAAGATTGACATCATTTAGGGTGCGAAGGAAGGGCTTACAAATCAACTGAATATGAAACATTACACAGGGTGAGCCTCAGTCATGAAGTACTTTTCCAGTGAAGACCAATCAAGTTATATTGCTGTACATCATTATGAAAGAAAGACAGAGATGCTGTGATAAAAGTAGCAAACCAGGTCAATTATCTGCTTAACATGCTTTGTATTGGATGGGGAATACTCACCACGATCAAAATTGAGACCTTCTTAACTTGTTCACAGGTTGTTTTACAGTTATAAATGTGAAAATAGAGAACCCATGAGAAAGAAGGCTAGAAATAAAATATTTCTACTTTAGGACCAAGCCACAGTAGGTAAGTGCATCTTTTGAAATGGTTGTCAGTCTTTCTTGATTTTCCTGCCCTTAAACTTTTAAATCTTACTTTTGGATATTTTCTACAACAGCATCTGAGAAGCTAGACACATTGCAGAAACTCTTCCCTGTTTTCAGACTTGATTAGAGACTGGTCTGTCAGGAAAAGGAGGATTTCAGCTTTAAAATGAGCCTTTGGAAACACTGCCCAAGTGTGAATACTGATCTTGCATCCAGTGTACAACTTGACCTTGACAAAAGTAGGAGCCGAAGTATTAAGATGTTCTCCTTAAATGTGTGAAGTCATGGTGCAGAGAAACAAAACTGGAGTAAGCCTTGGTCTTTCATATCTCTCTGGACTTTTCTTACCAGCCCAGGATCTTAGAGTCATAGAATCACAGAAACACAGAACAGCTTGGGTTGGAATGGTCCTCAAGGATCATGAAGTTCCGCCTCCCAGCCACAGACAGCACTGCCAGCTCTTAGATCAAGTCCTAGACCAGACTGCCCAGGGCCCCATCCAACCTGGCCTTAAACACCTCCAGGGATGGGGCATCCACAACCTCTCTGGGCAGCCTGTTCCAGCACTTCACCAGTGTCACAGTAAAACACTTTCCCCAACATCTAATAAAAATGTTGTTCTTGTGCAATTATAAACATAACAAACACCCTTTTAAAATGTAGAAACTACGTGTTTTTGTTGTTTGTTTGTTGTTTTTCTTTTGTTGCTGTAACTGCTTTGATAACATTGGCATTTTTAGGGAGACTACATAATGTCCAGAAAGTTGATTTGCCATGAGGTCTATTTTCTTTTACTCATTGACTAGATGTAGAGTGTTACAGGAATATTCATCAAAAATCAAGATTGTAACTGAACACACAACTTAATAAGATGAAAGGCAATGGATGAGTCTGGAAAAACCAGCACAGTCTGAATTCCCCTTTAGGGTACCTTGGACTCTTGTTCTGGGTAGCTGAACTGAGAATATGATGCACTTTGCTGTATGTCACGCTGGGGATTGCAACTAGTAGTAGCCCCTGTTTTGGTTGCTGTGCTAAGTAATTCCAAATACCACTGAATGTCTCTTTCACTGCTGAGAATCAAAACAAATTTTTTTAGGATCTGAATGACAGCATTGAGCATAGTGACTTCCCTTTCCTCGTTGTCACTCAGTGCTTTGCATACATCTTGTCCCTTCCCCAGCAGGGAACATAATGCATACCTTTTAATCTCCAAAGTGCTTTCAGTTCCCAAATCGCTCTCTTACTGTCTTCCATTCTACCATGCGTTCTTTTTTTTTTCTGTTGCTCTTTTCTTTCAATTTCTCTTCCTCTGTAGAACTTTCCAACTTTGTGGTTCTGCTTCCTATTTTTACTTGTTCAGGCTGAATCCCTGTTTTCTCTTTGCCAGTTCCTCACTATCAGATGTCTTCTCAAAGTGGCCTTCATGAGCAGCTTGATCCTTAGCCAGGTTTTAAGCTTTCATTATCAAAGACCAATCCATTTTTCTGATGAAAAGTAAACATAACAGCGCTATGCTCTTGAAAATCATACTGAGGAACAGCAAAGATTACCAATCTTTCTCCATGTGAATTTTGCATCTCAAACTTAGTCAAAACAACAGGAAAGAGATAAAAAAAAAAATCAAACTTCAACATGTATGAAGATGAAAAAAACATGGAGTCAAAAATAAGCAAAAGAGTAAAGTGTAAATCACTGTGCAGCCTCATTTTATCCTAAGCTGACTAGATTTTATTAGATGAATTTTGAATCTTTCTGTTAAGAGGATAAAACTCATAGACTTATCTATTCAGTTCTTTATTTGCTGTGGTCTAGTTTGCTTAGAAAACATGAGTAAACGCTGTTTTCCCAGAAAAGCAGTGAGCAGGCAATGAGTTGATCACTTTATTCTGCTACTCAACACTCTTCCTGCCAGTGCCTTGCAGAAAACAAAGTTTTCTTGCTCTCCTTTGCTCTCATGCACACTCTATCTATTCAAATTCCACTTTGTCATGCTATCCATCTCTCTGGTGCTGGAGAGCTAGAGACTTGTGAGCTATGTCACTCACTCCTTGGGTTAGTGTATAGGTAGCCTCAGAGGATGCTGCAGCAGAGAAGATGCCTTGGAATGTGTCCAGAGTGGCAATGAAGCTGTGAGGGATCTGGAGCACAGATCTTATGGGGAATGGCTGAAGGAGTTGGGATTGTTTAATTTGGTGAAGAGAAGGCTCAGGGGAGACCTTATCACTCTCTACAACTGTCTGTAAGGATGCTGTGGTGAGGTGGGAGTCAGCCTCTTCTACCAGGTAACAGCGATAGGATGAGAGAGAATGGACTCTGGTTGTGCCAGGAGAGGTTTGGGTTGAATATTAGGAAATACTTCTCAAAAAGTGCAGTGATGCAGTGGCATAGGCTGCCCAGGGAAGTGATGAAGGTGTTCTTGAACTGTGTGGATGTGGCACTAAGGAACGTGGTTAGTGGGCATGGTGTGGTGGGTTGGTAGTTGGACTAAGTGATCTTACTGGTCTTTTCTAACTTTAACGATTCTATGATTCTGTGAATTTGTTGTTTCCACTGAAATGTACCCATACAGTGAGTTCTTCTCCCTTATTTTCCCTAATCAAGACTGGCATCCTCTCTGAACTTCAGTGCCATGGTGCACAAACTGACCTTTTGATGCAGGGCATCTCAGTTGGAGCTGCAGGGAGAAGCGGGTATTGCTATACTGTGCTCAGGAAGCTGAATGCCATAGAGCAAGCAGGCACGGTACACAGGCAGCCCAGTCATCCTGGTCTGACATTTCTGAAGAGCCTCAGCCCTACTCTTCAGGTACGTTAGATCTAATATATGTTAAATCACAAGCTAGGCTGTGGAAAAGCTGCGTGTCTCAGACATACTGGATAGAAAGATGGGAGCCCTGGTGTTAAGAAGTTATAGATACAAGCTGTTAGTAGCATTGAAGGCTTGAGACGAGTCCTTGAGAGCTCATGTACTTTGTCACTGCAGTGTTTGCCAAGTGTTAGCTAGGCATGTGCATGTAAGATTGCTTTCTGTCTCACTAGTAACCTTCTTCAGCCAGTTGGGGAGAAAAAAAAACCTTGAAAAACTAATCTATAAAGCTCAATACAATCTTCGGTAGCATATTTAAGATTATTTTCTACTGAGGTCTACTTCAACGTTTTGGAGTTTCCAGCATTTCTGATGCTGAAAATGTTTGCATCAAGTCTTGCAGTTCTGCTTCGTTGTTGGTTTTGTTGTTGTTGGTTGTCTTTATAATAAAAGATTTGTTGGTTCTAAAAATCCACACCAAAAATGAACAACAATGCAATGCCTACACCAATAATAAACAACTTAGAAACAAAACTAAAATGAGAACTGAAAAATTGGAGTCAGTGTGGAAAAGGATGTTTCCACTGTATATGAAGATTTTCATGGTCTTACAGGGTTCAATGAATTGAAAATAAATTGCATTTATCTAAATCGATATCCTTAGAGAAGTTCAAAAAAATACCAATGCTGACTACGTTTACTTTCATCCTGGAAATCAGATTTCTCTGTACAGAGTTGGGAACACATAGGATGGTGTATCAGTGTGGACAAGGTATGTGTGGCAAAGTAGCAGAAGAGATGTACTGCATCAGACAGTGCTTATAGAGAGACAGACAAACAGAAGGTGAGGGTTACTTACAGGGTACAATTAGAAAAAAAAAAAAAAAAGCAGCAAGATGATTGAGCTTTGGTCTGTGCCACTAAGTGTCATATTTAGTCACATGTAATGAAGCTGTTAGGCCGTATCTTGTGAAATCTAGCAAAAAGCCATGTAATACCTAACCACTTCCTAATGACTTGGTTTTATCTGCACTTCACTGAAACTCCCATTGCACACAAGATGTGCAGTAAGCTGGGATAGGGTAAGAAGATGTATCTGTAAATTTTTTGCGGGATTGTCTCCAGCTCTCTGCTTTCTCCATAAGATTTCTGGACCCTTTATTCTTGAGCTAGCCACCTGGAGGGCAGGTGGATCATCATGCACAGACTCTAGAGATAATCCCCTGCTCCCGTGTCTTTGAGTCATGCTGGCTTGCACAGTGTTCTCCCTTGACTAGAGCAGTTTGAGTAGTCTTCAGATGCAGGATGGGCTGGAGGAAGAAATGCAGTAACATACGCCTGTAAATTTGTCTCTTCTGATTTTTTTTTTTTTTTTTTTTTAAGAATAACATGGATGGAGGCATTGAGACTTGAAGCTCTCATTGCAAATACCACAAAAGTGCCTTATACCTCATGGCCTTGGAGAAACCATGGCTTTACGTAGCCTTCAGATCCCAATTAAAGAAGCAGCTTACGGCAGGAAAAGATGCCCATGGACTAAGCAAGAGCTTTCATTAAATCCTTCCACATATTTGATCCCATCACCATCAGTGTCACAGCAGCCCACCACTCTGTTAATCAGTGTCTCCCACAGCTGCACTTCCCCTTCCCCCATCTCTCCTGGCAGCCTACCCAGCTGTGATGCATATCAAACAGCATCATACAGTTTCTCTGTACCTAGGTGAGAACTAGGCTGCCGGCACTGTTTGGAGGACCTGGGGACATTTCCTGTCCTGAGGAGTGGTATCAGGTGAGAGATGGTGCAGAAAAAAATGCCAGAAAGAGTCAGAAGTGTTCAGGAATTTTTTCCAAAAGTGCTTTGTCACAGACAATAAGAGGATCTGGACTCTCAGCTTCGGAGGGGGAAGCAGTGAGAGCTAAAATATTTCTAAAAGATGTATTAAAAAAAAAAAAAGCTGCAGGATTTGATTGCATGTGAAACTGCGTGAGGTAACAGGAATGGAGAGAAGAGTAGAGTCTGTCATGACTGGACTAGGTATCCCTTGCAACAAGGAGGAGGAGTAAGAGAGAGAAAACCAGAACAGGGTTTCGTCCTTTTCATATTCTCTCTGCTGCAGAAGGAAAATGGAGATATGTTGTTAGCAGAATATTGATGAGCAGTTTGATTTTTGTCTCCTGACATGGGTAGTCATGCCAGATGCTTGTTTTAAACAGCAGCAGAGGATCTGAGGGTAGTTGTCTGCCCAGAGCATCTCTGCCAGCAAGCACAGCCCTCCTTAGGAGTCACATAAATCTGTGTGTGTTCAGGGACATGGGAAAGCTGATGTGATGCAGAAAAGCAAAATTCAATCCATTTCTTACCTCCTAAACCATGTGCCTACCAGGCTACAGCTGCTGTCTTTGGCTGTATTCCCTCAACACTTCAGGGAGCCACTGCTCACTTCTGGAATGGGCACAGACTGCCTCCTGGAAGAGATGTGCACCGTCACCTCTTCTCTCAGGTAAATGTGATAGGATGAGAGGTAATGGCCACAAGCTGTGTCAGGGAAGGTTTGGGTTGTATACTAGGAAACACTTCTAAACAGTGGTAATACATTGGAACTGGCTGCTTGGAGGTGT